TGATCTTATTAAACGCCGACCTCCTCTCTGGCCCCGAGAGGCGCGCCGGGGAGCATGAGGATGAACAAAAAAGGTTGATCGAGGGCAAATACACAGGATGAGGCGATACGTCTCGGACACCCCTCGCCGACTCCGATTTGGGGCCCAAGCACTTTCCAGGCTGCTCCAGGGACTCCCAGACGTTCCCAGGCGTTCCCAAGCGTTCCCAGACGCTCCAATCGCTCCCCAAGCACTCCCAGGCTCGCCGTCGCTACCAGCAGCACCAGCAGCATCCGCATCCTTATCTTCACCGTCCTCGTCGCCGCAGGAGGCGTCAAAGAGCAAACGAATCCAGATCGCGTCGACGCGTTCATATAGTTGAACAGGCTGGTCTTGTGGGAAAAGTTTAGGGTGGGAGGGATTGATCCGCGCAAGGTCATGTTGACCTTAACAACTTAGCCCGAAGGCTCACACCCGGACCCTGCCGCAAGAAGCCTGCAATCCTACAACTATATAAGCCTGACTCGACGAGAAGGCAACAGTCATTGTTTTGACGAAGGTGTTGGGCATACTTTGACCTTCGGGGGGGGGGGGGCGGGGCGCGCTAATTCACTGCGGCCCCTCCTTTGATCGATCTTCTCCAGGATGGCCCCAAGATGGCCCCCGAGGCTCCCAGGGGTGCCCCTAGACGGCCCCAAGAGGTGCTGTCAAGAGACCCCCAAGACGCTCCAAGAGGACTCCAAGAAGCTCTCGTACAACATCCGAAGAGACTCCGAGAGGCATCCAAGAAGCATCTAGCCTTTTTGTCCGCCCTCCTCATTATCCTCCTCCTCCTCCTCCTCCTCCTCCTCCTCCTCCTCCTCCTCCTCCTCTCTCATCTGCCTAGTCCTCCTCCTGTCTCCTCCAGCCTCCCCCTCCCCCTCCCCCTATACCTCCTGATTCCTGATCATCATCCATGCTCTCCCTCTTGAGGTTTGACGTCTTACCCAACCCTTGATTCCATTGCATGCTCCTCCACATCCCTGATCCAGGTCACTCGTCTGGGTATCGTTCCTGAATGGGCTGGTGGGGTTACGCGAAACGTCTAAAATATGTCTCATGTTTCTTCCTGCCCGCGCGAGGGAGGCGAATGGCGCGTGCCCTGTGCCTCCCGTGCGCGGTTGGGCGTACGCCCGGCGTCAGCAGCGACAGGCAAATCGGACATAGGCGGGCGGCTGCGAGAGGGAACGGCGATGATCGCAGCCATGACGAAAAGTTGAAGGGGGTGGGTGGGCGGCGTAGCCAACGTGTGCCTGGAGGCGCCGCAACCGTGCCACCGAAAATCGGATCCTCATGAACATGAACCAGTTCGTCAGAATAAGGCCATTGTACAGCGCCGAGGTCAAGCACAAAGCCCTGGTGCGCTCGGAGTCCCACACGAAGGAGTGCAAGCCATTGCCTGGGTGCTCGCAGATGCGCGCGCTTGCCCATCCACATCGACGGGAGAGGACGGGGGAACAGGAGTAGGAGGATGTGCCCCCCCCAGGATCATGATCACCTCCATCACCCCACTCACGGCTTCTGCACGCATGCTTTGCGCCCCAGCGGGCGTTCACTGTCGCATTGCCTGTCGTCTCCCCGCTGCGTGCTGGTGTCTTGTGTGCTTGTCCCTATGCCTAAGCAGAATGTTCCAGGCGTTGTACTTCACCCTGACGCTACGACCCCAGTCTACCTGAGTTTGCCCAAGAAGTCAAGACAAGGTGGGACCTCCAGCATGGGGAGAGGCGTGGGCCGCGGATCAGGGGAAGGGCGAGCGCGACAGGGCGAGCCATGCTCACTCTCGGGACGCATGCTCGGGCTCGAGCCGAGTGCGAAGCAAGAGCCCTGCACGTCGGCGGATCCGTCCAACTTTTGCTTACGCCCAGCCCGAGCCCTCTCCATCTGATTCTTGTCGAAAAGGAGATCGACTACAAAATTGAAGTACTCCAAAAATGATGTACCGTCGGAACTATAAGACAAGAACGTATAATGCTCGTGAATGGATTAACAGTACACGTTTTTGTTTGTCCGTAGGTTCGATTGGCATTTAGATATTGGCGTAAATCAATTCTGCAGTCCACCCCCTACTCGATCGTTCGCGCCCTCTCCATCTTTCTCTGTCGCCCCTCCCTCTCCCTCTTTTTCGTCCCGCTCCCAGGCTCTTTCGTCCCGCCATCGCCATCCCGTTCCTTCTTCGCAGCCCGAGCCCTTTGCCAGAGCGCTGGAGCGCACGCCAGGGGCTCGAGGCGCGAGCGAAGCCAGAACCCTGCACCGCGGCGGCGCCCCCCTTCTTCCCTCCCTCCCTCTCCATCGCTTCCTTTCGCTCAGCCCGACCCCCTGCTGGGACGGGGGATGACGCGGAGGGAGGAGGGAGGAAGGGGGAGCAGCAGCACGAGAGTGAGCAGGCGAAGGCCGAGACAGAGCAGGAACTCGCGGACTCGACAACTGAAGATGCCTAATCACTGGGGGTCCCCAAGCCGTGTGGTGACGGACCGCGCGGTGATCTTGAAATCCTAAGAGACCTCAGCGAACGGTCCGTCACCGCAAGGTTTTTACCTAACAGCGAAGACTGATAGGCATCTAGTAGGGTCAAAAGAGAGCATCATGACGCCCCAAGGGGGTCTGGGCGCGATCCGGGGGAGGGTGCCGGGGATTTTTTAAGCCAACAGTTACACGCTTCGTGGTCTTCGAGGTCCCAGAACTCCATTCCCGGGCCACATTCTGAATGCCCAGAGCCAACTGTAGGCCACTTCGTGGTCTTCGAGTTCTCAGAACTCCATTCCCGGGCCACATTTTGAATGCCCAGAGCCAACTGTAGGCCACTTTGTGCTCTTCGAGTTCCCAGAACTCCATTCCCGGGCCACATGTTGAATGCCCAGAGCCAACTGTAGGCCACTTCGTGGTCTTCGAGTTCCCAGAACTCCATTCCTGGGTATGATTTTGAATGCCCGGAGCCAACTGTAGGCCACTTCGTGTTCTTCGAGTTCCCAGAACTCCATTCCCGGGCCACATTTTGAATGCTGAGGCAGGCTGATGCTGAGGCTGAGGCAGGCTGAGGCTGAGGCAGGCTGAGGCTGAGGCCGAGGCTGAAGGCAGACTGAGGCTGAGGCTGAAGCAGGCTGAGGCTGAGGCTGAGGCAGGCTGAGGCTGAGGCTGAGGCAGGCTGATGCTGAGGCAGGCTGAGGCTGAGGCTGAGGCTGAGGCTGATGCAGGCTGAGGCTGAGGCAGGCTGAGGCTGAGGCCGAGGCTGAAGGCAGACTGAGGCTGAGGCTGAAGCAGGCTGAGGCTGAGGCTGAGGCAAAGGAGGCAGGCTGAGGCTGAGGGCTGAGGCTGAGGCTGCTGAGGCTGATGCAGGCTGAGGCTGAGGCAGGCTGAGGCTGAGGCCGAGGCTGAAGGCAGACTGAGGCTGAGGCTGAAGCAGGCTGAGGCTGAGGCTGAGGCTGAGGCAGCTGAGGCTGAGGCAGGCTGATGCTGAGGCAGGCTGAGGCTGAGGCTGAGGCTAATGCAGGCTGAGGCTGAGGCAGGCTGAGGCTGAGGCCGAGGCTGAAGGCTGAGGCTGAGGCTGGCAGGCTGAGGCTGAGGCTGAGGCTGAAGGCTGAGGCTGCAGGCTGAGGCTGAGGCCGAGGCTGAGGGCTGAGGCTGAGGCTGAAGGCAGGCTGAGGCTGAGGCTGAGGCTGAGGCTGAGGCTGAGGCAGGCTGAGGCTGAGGCTGAGGCTGCTGGCTGAGGCTGAGGCTGAGGCTGAGGCTGAGGCTGAGGCAGGCAGGCTGAGGCTGAGGCTGAGGCTGAGGCTGAGGCTGAGGCTGAGGCTGAGGCAGGCTGAGGCTGAGGCAGGCTGAGGCTGAGGCCGAGGCTGAAGGCAGACTGAGGCTGAGGCTGAAGCAGGCTGAGGCTGAGGCTGAGGCAGGCTGAGGCTGAGGCTGAGGCAGGCTGATGCTGAGGCAGGCTGAGGCTGAGGCTGAGGCTGATGCAGGCTGAGGCTGAGGCAGGCTGAGGCTGAGGCCGAGGCTGAGGCAGACTGAGGCTGAGGCTGAGCAGGCTGAGGCTGAGGCTGAGGCAGAGGCAGGCTGAGGCTGAGGCTGAGGCAGGCTGATGCTGAGGCAGGCTGAGGCTGAGGCTGAGGCTGATGCAGGCTGAGGCTGCAGGCTGAGGCTGAGGCTGAGGCTGAGGCCGAGGCTGAAGGCAGACTGAGGCTGAGGCTGAGGCAGGCTGAGGCTGAGGCTGAGGCTGAGGCAGGCTGAGGCTGAGGCTGAGGCAGGCTGATGCTGAGGCAGGCTGAGGCTGAGGCTGAGGCTGATGCAGGCTGAGGCTGAGGCAGGCTGAGGCTGAGGCCGAGGCTGAAGGTAGACTGATGTTGAGGCTGAAGCAGGCTGAGGCTGAGGCTGAGGCAGGCTGAGGCTGAGGCTGTGACTGCGACTGCCGTTGCCACTGCGACTGCCATCGCGAATGCGACTACGACTGCGAGAACAGCAGAATCAACAGGATTCTCATCTGAATCTTAAGGAGAATGCTTCCAAATATGCTCCTACACGTCGCTGTTAGGTTGCTTTGCCGGGATACTTTGGGATCCTGGAGGCCACCGTCTTCCGGAGCGCACAGGAGAGGGGCAGAGGAAGAGAGAGAGAGAGGGAGAACGAGCCAGGGGGGACCAGGAAGAGAGAGAGAGAGAGAGAGAGAAATAGAGAAAGATAGAGTGAGACAGAGAGAGGAAGGAGAAAGACAGGGGCAGATTCAATGGAACCATGATCCCTGTGACACAAGGCTTGCTGTGGGATTCCTGGCGCGAATCATAGAAGCCTTGTGAATATATCTGGCGTTTTGAAGTTTGGGAGCCTCCAACACAGAAGCCCAAGCTGCAGCCCTCGGGCCCTGAACCTACGTCGGTATCCCAGCAATGCCAAAACACCCAAACGAATTCGTATGCTATCTGTGGTCCTCACCCCACAGATCCCAAGCATCCAAATGACAGAGCGGGTTTTGCGCTCCCTACCTTCGCAGACCATGTCATTTCACAAGGATCGTTACTGCCTCGCCTCTATCTCTCTCTCTCTCTCTATGCACATATCGCTCTCTCTCTCTCTCTATCTGTCATCGGAAGAGGAGGAGAACAGGCAGCGAAGAAAGGACGAGCATCAAGGATGAATCAGTGGGGACGGATCAAGAGGAGGGCTGCCAGTGAGAGTACGAATGGACAGCGCAACGACGGATGCAAAAATGAATGGGTGAGGGGGGGGGGGGCTGTGCGTATATACATACATACATACATGCATAGATCCATATGCATGCATGCATACCATACCATACCATACCATACCATACCATACCATACCATACCACACCACACCACACCACACCACACCACACCACACCACACCACACCACACCACACCACGCCATACATACATACATACATACCTACCTACCTACCTACCTACCTACCTACCTACCTACCTACATCCATGCATGCATGCATGCATGCATGCATACAAACATACATACATACATACATACATACATACATACATACACACACATACATGCATACATGGCATTGCATGGCATGGCATGGCATGGCATGACATGGCATTACATATATATATATATATACAAATATGTATGTCTAGAGAGGAAAGGAGAACACAAACAGGTCGAGGGGGAGGATAACGAGATATACAGAGAACGGGCAGGAGCGAGGCCAACCAGGTACGCTTTGCCGGTTACCCTGTGACCCCTCACGAACTCCATCGACTGGGCGCTGATGTCTGCCGTGAAGGCGATCATCATCGACACGACGGCATTGGTGCAGCGCGGGCGAGCATTCAGGGAGTCCCTGTGTTGGAGTACGCCGTCTGTCCACGTACGCCCACTCTAGCCAGGCCCATACTGAGCCCATCATCTGTGGGTGTGCTCTCCTTGCCTTGGCGGGAACAGAGGAAGAGGAGGAGGAGGAGCAGGAGGAGGCGGAGGAGGAGGCGAAGGAGGGGGAGGGAAGACGGAGGAGGAGGAGGAGGAGGAGGAGGAGGGAAGGAGGAGGAGGAGGAGGCCTTCATGGATAGGCGAGTAAGTAAGGAGGATGAGGATGAGGAGTAGGAGTAGGAGTAGGAGGAGGAGGAGGAGGAGGAGGAGGAGGAGGAGGGCCTGGCTCCTGCACAAGCGTAAGCTGTCAGAACTGCTCGCGGATTTCTTGGATCGGCGCTGCACCCCCCTTTCCCTGGCGCGCGGAGAGCGCAAGGGGCGGCGCCGGAGGCGCCGTCAGGTGGCCTGGCGCAGGTAGAAGAAATCCTTGCGGAGCTCAGAAAGTTTGTGTTTGTGCAGTTTTGTTCCTTCTTCGAAAGAAGGCGCACACACACACACACACATCGGGGGTTGCCAGAGGTGCCCCTGGCCAAAGGTACCTCCAGCTTTTCGCTCGATGTTGGAGCCCCTGTGGCCCTCCTGGCCTCGTGAGGGGTGCTCTGGAGGCCGTGGAGGTCTCCTTGGGAATCCTGGGTGCACCTATGGCCAGGGGCACTTCTGGCAACACCCGAACGCATCCTGGGCAACATATGGGCCTTGCCAGAGTCGGCGAACATGGACAGCTGGAGTCCCCCCCGACCTGTAAACGCGAAGGACGAGCGGAGCAGCTGTGCCTGCTCCCTTCTCGACCTTCGCCATCGCTACATTCCGCAGGGGGCAAGCGCGGCACTTTAGGCCACAGAGCCGGAAGAAACGAGCCAAAAACAGCGTACAAGGTTTGGGAGGCAACTGCTGGGAGGTCTTCGTAAAAACAAAGGAAGGGTTATTCAGCCAAGATCGGATGCGACTGAACCAAATTCAACCCGCAACGAAAAGATTTCAAGCAACATGAAACGGGGATATCCCGGAGTGGGTCAGTCTTCGACCGCGGATCTACCAGCGTCGCTGCAGAATAAAACCTACTGGGAGTTGCATCATGACGGGAGTAAACGAGCCAGAAAGAGCGAGCGTGGCGGTGACGCGGCCGCACTGACGCTCAGCGAATCCTACTGTCATCTGGCTGGCAGCCAAACTATCGAGAACAACAGGCGGAACTCGGTCAACGCACTCGGTCGCGCACCCTATGTGGCAGAAGGCCGACGCAGCCATGAAGCCTGAGCTGGTGCAGCTTTCCCTGCGAAGTCGAGCCAAACTTGGGACGGCCAATGATGCCGTATTGGCCAGCGCCGAGACCGTCTGAGCCTGGTGGCGCTGCATCGATCCGATGCCAATTGAGCTCAGGAAGGCGAGCGGCCAGAAACATGTGAAGAACTGGCCTTACCTTCCCTGGGAGCGAAAGAGGACCAGGATAAATCGGAGAAGAGGGGGGGCGGGGGGCAAGAAGGATTAGGTCGGGCAGCTCCTCCTACAGGCAGATTTTGGACGAAAAATGGAAAATAGTCAAAGCATGCCCCCAAAATGTACAAACATAGCAAACAAATCGTCCCCAGAATATGTTTTGACTATTTTTGCATCTTCCCTCTGTAGAGGGACGTGCCCGACCTAACGCGACGAGAATCGTGAGGTCGGTGGGGGCCCGTCGTCGCCACGGCAAGAGACGCAGCTCGTAGGACTGGCGCGCCCCCCCTTATAAAGAAGCAAGAAGCCCAGGGCATGTTGATGGCGCTCCTTCTTTTTCCGCGCTGTGGGGCTGTGGGGGGCCCCCGATGGTTCGAGGGCCCCCTCTGCCCCCCTCGGCGAAGGTGCGGAGTTTCTCGAGATGCCCAAATGTACCACAAGGGGCATCACAAGGAGACGCCTGCCTTGCCGTCGCTCGGACGTCCATTTCCCATGCATTTTTCGGTTTCGTGCGTGTTTTGTTTTGCTCGATGGTCCAGGATGGTCCTCGATGGTTCTCGCCGAGGTAAAATGCACACGTCCGCGCGATGCCGAGCTGCAGGACCACTCCCCCCGAGGGCGGGGCGCCGCGCGAGAACTGCCCCGGGCCGCGCCCCGAGGGCACGAGAGCGCCGCGGCGCCCTCCTGCGGGCCCTTCGCGGCGAGGGGCCGCCGCGGGCGCTCTCGCGCGGCCGCTGCGATCGCGCAGGGAGGAGAAGGAGGAGGAGGAGGAGAGGGGAGGAGGAGGAGGAGGAGGAGGAGGAGGGGGAGGAGGGGGAGGAGGGGAGGAGGGGAGGAGGAGGAGGAGGAGGAGGAGGAGGAGGAGAGGAGGAGGAGGAGGGAGGAGGAGGAGGAGGAGGGAGGAGAGGAGAGGAGGAGGAGGGAGGAGGGAGGAGGAGGAGGAGGAGGAGGAGGAGGAGACACTGCAGCACACCAAAGACAAGACCGACTACGACGACACGATCACACACCAGGAGGTTTTCGTTGCAGGTGAGCAACAGATGCACGCTACCGCATCCAACACCTGCGACCCGACGCCAAGCGCCAACACTCCCATCGCAAACGACAACCAACCACCCTCCATCCAAGTGGAGCCCCAGAAGCCCACGATATGATTCCCCGTTACGACGATCACCCAAGAGAAGGTAAACCCCGACACTATCACCTTCCCTATGGGAGCCACCATGCGCTACTCGTACCACACCAAGCTTGAGGACTCCATCGCCCACGGCACCATCACTTTCAACGAGGGCGACGAGGCCACAATACTCAACATGCCCTTCAACAACAAGAACCAACCCTGGGCACGCGATACCATCACTCAATCCAACAACGTGCGAAGCAGCGAACAAGCCTCGATAGCAGACATCATCACCGAGTACCCCTCCCACTACCACGACATCCTGGATAAGCTCGGCACCCTCACCACGATGGTAAGGGAACCACAGGTCAGCTGCAACACGGTCGTCGACATCCAGAAGGAAATCACTTCGGCCAACAACTCCACCTCCAAGTTCCTCGACAAGCTCACTGACTACGTCAACCGACTACGCCCCTAACCACTGGCGATGGCCATCCTCGCCACTGTGCGAAGCCGCACGAGGTGCCGACGCGCCCGACGCCGACCACAGCACCACCACCTACTCCAACTTTCCCTGCGACTTCTCCGACTTCTTCTCCGACATCTACGACACCACCTACCTCCTTGACTTCTCCGACCGCAGCTAACTCGTGAGCACGGACTTCCCCCGACTTCTTCTACCTTGTCGACCTCGGCTTCTACATCTTCTTCTACCGCTCCTATCTCTGAGGGCCGAGAGGGGAGGTGGGGGGACGTGCTTAGTGTGTGGGCAGTGGGATTGTGGATGATGGTGGGGGGCAAGCAGCACGGGCGCGGCTCGACATCGACCCGCAGTCCCCCACCTCTCCGTCCTCCCCTCCTCGTTTGGCCCGCCGTTCGTGCCCCCCCTTCGACCTGTTCTTTCGGGCCCCCGTCCGTTTCTCCTCCCTCGTACCTCGTCGGCCCTCTCAACGGGCGGATCGGCCCATTTTTGGAATGGCCCCCTCCTGCGGTACCAGACACTACCTGAAGGAGGGGGCCACTGGCAGCACCTCTGAGGATCCACATGCCATTAGCAGAGAAAGAGAGAGAGAGAGGGAGGAGGGAGTAGGAGGAGCAGGAGGAGTAGGAGGAGGAGGAGGAAGAGGAGGAGGAACGCCATGCAACGCCGCTCGCACCCTCTGCGCCCTCTCCTCTCTCCACCTCTGCGTCACCTGCTTCTCCCCATCCTTCGTGGACGCCTTCCTGTTAACTCCCAACCTTCCCATCTTCCCCATCCCCTGATGCTGCGCGTCCATGCCACATCCTTATCCCTCTTCCTCTCCATCCCTCCTTCCCTCCCTCTCCGCGTCCCTTCCTCCCTTTCCTCCACTCTCTTCGTCATCCTCCTCCGCTCTCACTTCCTCGCTTTTACTGTGCTAGATTCGCCGCTCTTTTTTCTTACAACGCCGCGCTTCTCATGCCACGTCTGAGGGCTGGCACGCCGGAAGCAATGCTTGGCGATGACACTGGGGGGGGGGGCGCAAGATTGCAAGAAAGGCATACCCTGACACCAACAAGTTCGAAATTGTGTTCCTCCTTCTCGATTTTAGGTGTTCCCTCCTCCCTCCCCTTACCTCGTCTCGACGCGTTTCCCTCCCTCTCCCTCCCCCTCCCTCGCTCCCGGCTTTGTGTTTTCGACGTTCGTCATTTGTTGTTGTCCCCTCTCTCTCTCTCTCTCTCTCTCTCTCTTCCCCAAACTCAGGAACACTCGATCTGCCCATTCGGCGGTGGTGTCTCCACTTTTCATCGTTCACGCATTCCCTGAACTCCGAACTGTTGCGCCCACCTGGCCTGGCCTCGCGACTCGGTCCCGAGCCGACTGAACCTGATTAGCCCGGGCGCGCCGATAAGAGGGGGAGGAGGGGAGGAGGAGGAGGAGGAGGAGGAGGAGGAGGAGGAGGAGGAGAGGAGGAGGAGGAGGAGGAGGAGGGGAAGGGGGAGGAGGAGGAGGAGGACGAGGCAGGAGGAGGAGGAGGACGAGGAGGAGGAGAACGAGTAGGAGGAGGAGGAGCGGAGGAGGAGGAGGAGGAGGGGAGGGGGGAGGAGGAGGAGGGAGGAGGAGAGGAGGAGAGAGGAGGAGGGGAGGAGAGGAGGAGGAGAGGGGGGGGAGGGGGAGGAGGAGGAGGACGAGGAGGAGGAGGAGGAGGAGGAGGAGGGAGGGAGGGAGGGAGCGGAGGAGGAGAGAGGACGCGGAGGAGGAGGAGGGAAGAAGAGGGGGGAGGGGGATGGGGGAGGAGGCGAGGAGGGAGGGGGGGGGGCGCATCCTCCGAGAGGAATGCGCGCGGCCGATGGGGGGGCCCAGGGAGCGCGCCGAGGTGCAGTGGCCCCACCCACGCTATACATGTATAAC